AACAGAACACTTGGACAGGGGGGACAAGATTATTTGGGGATGTTTAATATTACGAATCTTGTACAAAATCTTACGTAAATACGTTTTGGTATAATTTTGACACAGTTTTATATCAATTTCTCGAGACAAGCTCCTGAGATTCTCAGGTTTCAGCCTATACCTCCTTTCAATTTCATTTTTCATTTACAGTAAAAAAGACTGACTTTACTACTTTAAATATATATAGTGTGTTTATATGTTTATATGTAAGTATAATATGTATTTATATATCTTTATGTATATCTGTATATCTGTATATCTGAATATATAACATATGTGAGGTAACTATGTGATATACTCCAGATATCCGTATATACAGTGTGTTCAAAAACATAAAGAACATAATATTAAGATATAAAAAAGGATTTAAATTAATACTGCTTGTTTTTTTTATTATTTCTATCTAATATTGTTCAGGGGCATTTGCAGGAGGGGTGAGTGAAAACTATGATTTTATTCTATTTTTTTAAAAAGGGGTTTTTAAGGGGGGGGGCACAATGTTGCCAAGGGGAGGGACCAAAGCATTTTTTGCGCGCGTGCCCCCCCTAATCAACAGCCCTCGTACGCCCCTGAATGTTTTAGCTATGTTTACCACAAAATTACATTTACAAAATAGTCCCGCTTGGAACATAGCCGAAATAGAAGTTGTCATTTAATTCCCATGTTTATTAGGACACCCTGTATAAGATGAACTGATAATTTCGTGTCTCGTAAATTTTTAAGGATAAGAAAACATTCATTTATATCAAATTCTTCTTATTCTTCTAAATATCAAAAGAGTTGTAAATTATAATAACTCATTTCAAACTTTATTTATAATACAGGGTGTACCACGAAACTTAAAAGTCGTCTTTACGTTTGAATTATATTCGTCATTCAGTAGACAACCTACTTTCAGATATTTGATTCTTGAAAAAATAATTCACAAATTCTCCAAGTTCTGTTGCATTTCCAAAATAATTTCGCAAATTTTTTCAATTCGTCTTGCTTCTGTCATGTTTCATGGGACACCCTGTGTCTCGCTACTGTCATGCTTCGTGGGACACCCTGTATCTTGCTACTGTCATGTTTCATGGGACTAGGGTTGTTAATCGTTTTTGAAAACGATCGTTAAACGATCGCTTTTTTCGTTTTCCTATCGTTTTTTGTTTCGTTTTTCGATCATTTTAAAATCTTGGCATCCTGATTGTGTAAATCATTGAAATTGTAAACTTTGACAAATGATCTAATTCATAGATAGTGGAAATATATGAGGAATAGAAAACCAGAGTCCGTGATGAAAAATCAGTTTTTATACTTCAGATTGACGTGTATTCACGTCAAACTAATGTAAATTTTACATTATATTTTATATGTTTTCAATCCGTACTCCTCTCATTGAAGAGATATTGCAATAACAGACATGTTTAAAATTTCATAATATGCGAAAAATCAAAACAAGAGAAGCTACGAGGTAACAAAACTAGAGGAGCTACGAGGTAACAAAACTAGAGGAGCTACGAGGTAACAAAACTAGAGGAGCTACGAGGTAACAAAACTAGAGGAGCTACGAGGTAACAAAACTAGAGGAGCTACGAGGTAACAAAACTAGAGGAGCTACGAGGTAACAAAACTAGAGGAGCTACGAGGTAACAAAACTAGAGGAGCTACGAGGTAACAAAACTATAGGAGCTACGAGGTAACAAAACTAGAGGAGCTACGAGGTAACAAAACTAGAGGAGCTATAAGGTAAGTAAACTTTACGTTAAATTGCAATCTCAAATGTTTTAAATCATACATATCTGATATGATGCTATATATCGAGAAGATTAAAAATGCTTTGAATTTCTAGTAAATATAGTAAAGTAAAGTAACGAGGTCACAAAGTCGTACTACCAGTAAATTCGCTGAAAATTGACCTTCTTCCTCTGCTTAGTGGAGTTAGAATTAGCGTACCATAATTTGGAAAGCTGGGGTATTCAGATTCTGCGTATTTTCAAGTGCATGGTAAACATTAAAATTAACATTAAAGGAATTGAATCTTTGCCACAAACTTCAATTTTAAAATCCCTATTTCTTTGAAACCTGATGATGTAAACCTTTGTTACTTAGATTATCTATTCTAACAGAATTCAGAGGTCTATAAAATAGGGTTGCAAAGATAAAGGAATATAAACATCCAGAGTTTGTGGCAAAAACTCAATACCTTTAAGTATAAATAAAGTTTAAAGTTAAGTTGAAATCTCAAATATTTTTAATCATGAATCCTTTTTCGCAAGGGTAAAGAAAAGAGAAAAATTAGATTTCATGTTCTATATGATTTTGACAATAAAAAAATGAATATCCCACTTTCTCTAATTCTATGAAAAAAAAATTGAAAATATGTTTATCTGAGAAAGAATACATAATTCAAATTATTATATAAATTATCTTTAAAATAATTGATTATGCCAATTCTGAAGCTTTTATAGATATATTTACACGTGTTACAACTTCATCATAAAATATAATTCCAAACACATGGTTCGGAGGAAAAGAAACTAAATACTTAAATAAATAAATAATAACAATCACTGTTTTTTTATGATATAACACTCCCAGAAAGTCAGGGCTAATGTATGCTCTACTAAATTTGTACCGGTCCGGCCTTATCCTGGAACGATACTGGGATGATCTATCTAGTTTAAAGTGATGATAGATATTAATTTTTATTGATGGTGTAATAAGTGCAATGAGTTTTTAAAATTTCTATTTAAAAACAAAACAAAATAATCCTTATTTAAAAAACGTGGAATTGAATTATGTTTACAATTTTAGTAGTATATGTATATATATATAAAGATGTCTGTGTGTTTGTTTTTCGGTGTGTTTGTTTTTCGGTCCGTTTGTTTTCAATAAAAATAAACGTCAAAACGGCAGGAACGATCGAGCCCAAATTTATATGGGACATCACATGACCCCAGGGAGGGTTTATGTGTAACAAATATCGTATTAAACCCTATATTTGTAAACCCTAACACACCAAGATATATTACGTAACCCAACTACGTCTGTAAATAACTACGTCAAACTTGTATTGTGGTTAGCTTATCTACGCCGGCGGCTTGTATATAACAACGCAAAACTTGTAATTACGTTCATTAAATTAACCTGTAACATATAACTCAAAATAAACGTCAGTTGGAATAATACTCTGCGTTGATTACGGTATTAGAGCAATTGTTCATCGTTTAGCGAACGAGAGTGATCCTGAATCACTTTCTTGAAAGACAGATATAGATTAATGCCAATTACAGGGAATTGTATCTTGTAAGACAGATACCAGAAAATACAGATAAATTTGTATCCGGATTGATATTGATACTAAAGTATTAATGAGCGACCTGGAGTTTGGGATTGAGTTGTATCTTGTAAAAACGGATACCTGAGATTATTGAACGAAAGAATTTCTTTACTACAAATAGTCTAATAGATGATATAAATTTTAAAAATTTGCCTCAAGCAAATTTCGATATCAATTAAATTTTGAAAGTTCACGAATTTCTTTTATAAAATTAGCAAAGTTTTTTTACAATGTATACAAAGAGAAAATGTTTACAATTAAAATAGAAGGTGGGCGTGAAGCGCCCTTAAAGCCTAGTTTGTATAAAAATTAGTAATCTCTTTTTGTCAGTTTGTTTGTATGTCCGATCATAACCCTTGAACCCCTTCTCCGATTTTTCCCCAAACTTTGATTGTTCTTAGATTGGTTAATGAATTCGAAGTTGAGCAGGCCAACTCAAGGGAAAGCTGGGATCCCAATGTGGTATTTAGATACTTTAATCTATTGTGTAAGAAATCTCCGTGTTACTTTAAGGAAATAGAGCAAACTCATACCATCAATTTTCAGATTTTTAGATGAAACATATCTGAAAATTAATTTCAAATTAACTGAGAATGTTTTAACTAGAAACAACAAACCCGACTATTTATAAAATCTAAATCTGTCCTTGCCATTTGCTCAGTTATGGGACATAACAAATAAAAAAATATAGATACCAATTTTAATTTTTAAAACTATAGAATAACCCTCCAACAATCACATTTAATTTGTCTTTGTCTTTAAGTACGTTTTGATCCACTCCATACAGCAACTGATTACTAGCCTAAAACTCTAAAAATCCCTATGAAAATTTTCTAGTCCCCATATCTTTGCAACATGAAGAAGTATTTCTTTGATATTTCATAGTCAAAGAGTTTGAAATATTACAGGGATTAGAAAATTAGAGATTTATCAGTTTAACTGTTTGCCAGTACATAATTGATACAATGCATGTGAAAATAGACCATCTGTTGTCTTGATAAATCAATAAATTTATTTAATATTTCTAATTTATTTCTTGAAATTACACAGATTATCACAATGGTTTAAAATGGTAGAGTGGAAAAACTTCCCTAAATGTAAACTGAATTATTCACTTGGCGACACGGCTCTAATATATTAATTATCAAAATGATGTAGAAATAATAAGAATTAATAAAAATGGAAGACTAGATAATAAACTAAAAGTTGTAACAATACGTGTACACTGTACACTGTACAAGCTGTACAGTCCAGTGTACAGTGTACACTGTACAAGCTGTACAGTCCAGTGTACACTGTACAACATAAATGTCTATTTTTGACACACAATCTTTGGCATTTGCGATACAAAAGTCCGATTTGTAATATTAAAAAGGAGGAATACATGTAATTTCATATTTCAAGGGGGTTACATTTTTTTGAGAGATTTCAGGGCCCAATAGTTGACATTTTCCAGTTTTGTTCAACATTATTTAATGTTCTAGGATACTTTTAAAATTAGATATTCCAGGGTCCTTTCAAGTTCATCCACGGTCCCTTCAAATATTCTAGGATTCTTTCAAGTTTGGATATATCAGGGCCCATTTAAACATAGATATTCCAGAGTTCTTTAAGGCTAAGATATTTTATTAAAACTTAGATTGTTCAGGGTCCATTAAAAGAGGACTTATAGGAGATCTTGCAGTTAAAAATAACTTCATCTTAAAGAGATGAGGACCCATACTAATTCCCCTCCGAGATTGAATATTTTGTCTTTTCTTGCTTTGCTCTTCTCAGCCCCGAGTAACACATCCTCTTTTTCCGCTGAAAACACTGAGAAGCTATTTCAGGGCCCAACAGCCTCTAGTCCAGGGCCCACTCTACTCCTGTGTACAAACTGTACAATCACTGTTTGAGTTCTAGAGCCCAGACATGCTGTGGCCAACCTGTTCTAGAAGGTTTCTGTACAGGAGTTCGTACCCTCTCCTCCCCTCTGTTATTATTCAACTCCTCCTCCTGAAACAAAATGGACGTTATACTTTTCCTACTACTTTTAAAAAATTAACCATATAACAATCTAAAGGGAGTGTTCGCGAAAATTGAAAGGGGGTATAGGCTTGCGTCGAAAAATAATCGATGACTATTGGTTGTACTTACTGAATGATTTGTGTGGAATTAAATTGATTATTTTACTATCCGAGTTGAATGCTGCAAGTGCAACTTTCTGAATTTATATAGACGCTACACGTTCTTCAGCATGAGTCGTTTTAAACAATTTTCTCCTTAAAGACGCAGCAGATAGAAGTAATATTATAGTAGCGAGCAAAAGCGCTTATTTTTCGCCGTAAACCTGTAACCCCTTTCATTTTTGTTTCAAACACTCCCTTTAAAAGTTAATAAATACAGTTAGAGTTGGCAATATTTTTTCACTCAGAGATCGGGAAAAAGAAAAAAAAATCCATTCGTTCGTGATATATACTGAACGTTGCTAAAAAAATTATTTGTATTTCTCACCAATTCTTTTCTTTTCTGCTCCTCTGTTTTCTCATTCCACTTCTTATGAATATCTGCTTTAAATCCCTCCGCGGACATATTTGGATCATCCGACTTCAAAACATTTAGAAGATAGTCTATGTAAGATGTTGCAAGCCGCAGTGTCTTGATTTTAGACAATTTTGTGTCGCAAGGAACATTTGGAATACAGTCGCGTAAAGATGAAAATGCGGCGTTAATTGATTGTGTTCTTCTTCGCTCCTTTTTATTGGATCCAACTATTTTTCGTTTGTCATGTCTGATGGGTCCTCCACCTTCAGTTTGGTAGAATATAGAGTCTTGTTGATAATATCCTTGGTAGCTACTGGAGTCATATTGTGTTGGGGAGTGGGAGGAATCTGAGTTAGGGGAGTACTCCCCTCCAGGGGGCACATGGGGCTCATAGGTGGTGAGAGGAGGGGGCGGGGGGTAGTGTGATGGGTAGGGATAGTATGGAGGGTATGAATGAGGGGTAGGAGTATAGTATTGTTCTGGAGGGTAGTCTGATCCTAACTGCACTGATCTGGACATCTTCAATCCTCACAGGTTCAAAGGGAACTGGATAATGTCAACCCAACATATCCAGGGGGCGGGAGCTAGATACTTGTCTCTGATTGGCTGGCGGGCCTTTAGCTCGGACCAATCAGAGAACAGAACAGGTCCGCCGTCAATCCCCGGGGTGCAGTTTATTGACAAGATAATCTAAAAGAAGTCGAGCAGAAAAATAAACAAAAACTAATCTTATAATATCTATCAATGTCTTAAAACACTTTAATTAACGACAGTTATGTGTAATGTTGATTATCTTTAGGACGGTACAAAGATTTAATAACAGAATTTCTCCAATTTAAGAAATGCGAAAATTCGTTTAAGAAGATTTAAAATCTATCCCACAGTTAATCGTAACTAAACTATAATAAATAAATAAATACATATATATCCATAGACACAGTGTTTCGTCCTATTAGGACTCATATGTTTTTTAAACATCATGTTTGTTTTATTGTATGTATCTATATGTAACATTAATTTGAAAATTAATTTAACATCCCTTGAAAATCCGCGAAACAACTGTGAAAAATTCTCAAATCATTCATACTGATGATTGCATAAAAGCATGAAACAATTTGTTTATGAATAAAATGTTATAAGAAGATTGTTGCGTTTCAACTGATATATATACATATNTATTATTATTATTATTATTATTATTATTATTATTATTATTATTATTATTATTATTATTATTATTATTATTATTATTATTATTATTATTATTATTATTATTATTATTATTATTATTATTATTATTATTATTATTATTATTATTATTATTATTATTATTATTATTATTATTATTATTATTATTATTATTATTATTATTATTATTATTATTATTATTATTATTATTATTATTATTATTATTATTATTATTATTATTATTATTATTATTATTATTATTATTATTATTATTATTATTATTATTATTATTATTATTATTATTATTATTATTATTATTATTATTATTATTATTATTATTATTATTATTATTATTATTATTATTATTATTATTATTATTATTATTATTATTATTATTATTATTATTATTATTATTATTATTATTATTATTATTATTATTATTATTATTATTATTATTATTATTATTATTATTATTATTATTATTATTATTATTATTATTATTATTATTATTATTATTATTATTATTATTATTATTATTATTATTATTATTATTATTATTATTATTATTATTATTATTATTATTATTATTATTATTATTATTATTATTATTATTATTATTATTATTATTATTATTATTATTATTATTATTATTATTATTATTATTATTATTATTATTATTATTATTATTATTAATTAAAACTTTCTTCTTATTCAACAATAATGTACATAATTAGAATTTATTTAGACACCCAGTGGTTGAGAATAAGTCAACTAACCTGCCACCCTGTCATGTCAACTTCCCACCACAATCAAATTAAATTAATTGAATCAAAATGATTAAATTTTTTTATACACTTAAGCACCATTGATTATATAGCTTGGTAGGAACTGTCATTTTGTTTTTGATATTCAGTTTTCCTGTTTTATATACATCCATATATCTACGTAAAAAAAAGTTGCAATCTCTGTTTGTCATGAACCCCTTGACAGATTTGCCTCAAATTTTGAGCGGGGAACTTGGAAGAACCACGGGAACGGTTTTAGCTTGGTTTTTAGCAACGCTGGGTTCTCAAGCGAGTGTGTAATGTATATTATATCAGTATCGGCGTTGCCTATTACATCTGCTTGGCTCCATACATACTCACATTCATTTCTTTCTCCATAATTTCCATACCCTAACCCCACTACTGCAATCCCAACTTGTTCTTTTCCTGGCTTTCCTCCTTCCTCATTTAAATTTTCCTTTTCCTAACTTCTCCTTTCCAATTGTGTCCTCCCAGCTAGAAGTGTATATTTCTTTGAATAATTTCCCCCATTTTGAAAATAATTTTTTTCCTCCAGAATTTATACTTGCTTTTTTCTTCGCTGACTCAGGAAAAAAAGATGATTTTTTGGGTAAAAAGTATTAAAAAGTATTAAACAGCATTAAAAAGTATTAAAACGCATTAAAAAGTATTAAAAAGTATTAAAAAGTATTAAAAAGTATTAAAAAGTATTAAAAAGTATTAANGGGGGGATGAAATAGGGAAAGGAATAAGTAATAACTTTACACTACGACGTGCCTAATTTGGGAAATTTACTTCTAGTTAACAATATGCAATAAATAAGTCATCACATTAACGTTTACAAAACATAGTTTTCTTTGTTCTCACTCTGAATATTGTCTTTTTGTTTTAGTTGATTTTTGGATTTATTTTAAATGGCCTTTTCTCTTTTTTCTCTTCCTAAGTAATTTTCCCTTAAAGAATTGAGTTTTTGCCACAAACTCTGATTTTCTCATCCCTGTAACTTTACAAATTAATGTCGTAGACCCTTGATATTTCAAACTATGAATCATATTAGACCAAATAATTTAAGTTTGAAATATCAAAGGTTTACACCATCCGGTTGCAAAAATATAGGAATTATGAAATTTGAGTTTGTGGCAAAAACTCAGTTCCTTTACTAAAAAACACAATCTAATCTTTTAATCAAAATATCTTAATAACCTAAACCTAAACCTTTGATATTTTAAACTTTGAATTTTTGATTTAGAGAGTTCTATAGTTTAAAATATTATAGTTCTACGACATCAGGTCTCAGAGATCTAAGGATTAGAAAAACAAAAAAATCAGAATATCAAATGCCAAATTATCAAATTTTTTTAGAATATAAAAAAGTGTACACTAAACAGTTAGGACAACTACTTACTTATTAATACAATAATGCAGTAAAATCAGTTTCTTATGACTTGTTTACAACGTAATTAAAATGTACTGCCTTTGCATGGTACATTTGATTATTTGGCATTAGATATTCTGGTATTCTAGCCTAGAAGCAAAATTAGAGTTTGTTGCGAGTATACAGTTCCTTATATAATTTAATTCCAATCAAAGATTAGATCAAAATAAAACATTTTATCTTAGAAAATACACATTTAAACATCTAAAATTAATGTTTATGCTGAAAAAATATTATGTATTGAATATATAAAAATGTATGATATATAGGTATCCCGGGGGATACAGTTAAACTTGAAATTTGAGACTAAACACTACAAAATAAGAAATAAAATTGTTTTTATTTCAGAAAAATGTTTATTTTTCTAAAATATCAAGTGGCATTAAATATATATTTGAAACTGTGTACAAAGCAAAAGGGTAAACTGACAAAAATAGTTTTAATATTTTAACATGTCAATTTGCGCCAATACTTTTTATGTCTGCAGAATGTTCTAATGGGAAAGTATTTGAGAAATATTTTACCTTGACCACAAGCTCAAATTTTCTAATCCAAATATTTTTGCAACCTGATGGAATAAACTTAGATTATTTGATCTAACAGAATTCTTAGTTTGAAATATCCAAGGTCCACAACATTGCTGCTTCAAAGATATAGGAATTAGAACCAGGAGATAGAATCAGAGTTTGTGGCAAAGACTCAATTCCTTTTAACCAAGATTTTTGATAATCTTATTTACAGATATGAATATAATTTTTATCTAAATAATTACTGTAACATTTCGAATTATTTTCAAATGCACACATGATCACATTTGTTTCTAATTTCTTTATTGTGATTTATGTGAATTATAACGTTAAAAAGATGATTAAAGTTCCCGCGGTCTGATTCAAAAATAAAATTTAATAGTTTCCCGCGGTGAAATTTTCCAGATACAAACATTTCAATTTTCGGTAGGAAATGCCCCGCCCCTCTACCGCTACATGGCCCCGCCCACCCCCATTAATTCTTCTAGAACCGGATGAGGGTAATTTTTTAAAACGGGTCAAACCCTGTGTGTTTTTAAAATAACATTAAACCCTCCCCGTTGATACTTGATTAGTGTAATTTTATCTAAATATTTCAACCTTCTTCCTCCTACACTATTTTCTCAAGCCTTCTTCAATATTCAATGTTTATTTCATAAAAACATGATATTCGGCATGTCTGTCTGTGTTTCGGTTTGTTTGTTTTAATCCATTAAACTTAAAAACCACCCCTAAGCTTGTTGTGTCACGTGTGTACTTCAGTGATCTGTAGTACACACAGACCGAAGAAATAGTGGGGTTTAGCGGAGAGTGAAATAGTTGGAAATAGCCAAACCGTCGCGGCCAAATTTTTTTGTTGGACCTCTTATGGAGTCCCCATTGGAAGGAAACAAATTTTTCAAAAAAATCAGGGAAATCCGCGAAAGAAATCAGTCTTTGCCGCAAACTCAATTTTTTTTGTATCCCTATATCATATCTTATCAACCTGATGGTGTAAACCTTTGATATTTCAAACTTTGATCTAAGAGAATTCATAGTTTGACATCGTTATAGGGTTTTTTTTTAAAAAAAGATCATAGTTTGTAGCAAAGAATCAATTCCTTGTGTCATTGTTTTTAATTGTACGAGAAAAAAACAGCCTTGCTTAGCTAGATTAACACTGGATTCTAGATTATAAATTGGTCCTTAATTAAATAGTCTAAAATAAATTTGTGTTTTTCCAAATGTTGATCCTTTTTTCGAATAGAATATTAATGCAAATCTCTGGATAGTAATTTTTGGCATATTATCCACTTTGACTATAAGATATCCACATATCGACAGCATAGGGGTCAATAAACACAATAAATAATAATAAAGAAATTCAATAAATCTTTTGCTCCTTGAACATATTTATCTTGTTTTTCCTTTGATCTTTGTCTTGCATTTAATCTAGTATTATTTTCAGAGGTCTTGGATTTGTTCTTCTTTCACTTTTTTCACATTTTGCGGTATTTTATGGCATTTTCAGACATTTGTCCGCTCACTTTCTTTGTCCTTTTCTCGTTTTCTAATTTTTTTCTTGCTTAATTGTAGGAAGAAGAAAAAGAAACGATGAAACAAGATTGAAAAGAATTGGAAAGAGAAAGAATTAGCAGATCATATATAAGACGAAGCTGGAAAAAAGTAACAAACTTTGAATTTTTGATTTAGAGAGTTCTATATTTTAAAATATTATAGTTCTACGACATCAGGTCTCAGAGATCTAAGGATTAGAAAAACAAAAATATTCCTTCTATTCCTTCAATTACTTCT